GTGAAAAGCTTTTTCTTTGCTTTTCAGGAACTGCTTTATGCTTTGGCAACTTTCCCAGGTTTGAATATGCTAAAGCACATAGTTAATAAAGAAGATGAAAATGTCATCCAAAAGCCACTAAATAGCATAGTTCCAACTGTTAAGTCAAGGCGTTCTACATTCTCCTTTCAGAAAAGACCATAGCTTTGACACAGTGTTAAGATCCTGGAGGTCCATTTTAATAAAGAATCCCACTCCCCAATCAAGGAAGTAAAACCAATAGCTCATAATTAAAGTCTGAAAACAGAAGGACTCACGCCTATTTGGAAAATCTGTCTTAAAAAATTCAATTCTTATAAATCAGAGGACATTGTATGGGCTGTATGTTACTTGTTATTTATTTTATGCTTTAAAGACATTTCTAGGTTACATAAGGACTAAAGCTCTCCGCCATGAAGCTTATACAATACAATCTAATAAATAATACAGGAGCAAAAATTAATAAAATCAATAAATCAAGCAGACTTTAATAAAATATTGCACAACTAAAGATTAAAATTAAGAACAATCCAACTGAACCCAATCACAAAAAGGCCAAGGAAAACAGATTAATTGTTGGGACTTAATGACAGAGCTTGATGGATTCCAGCTGGATGATCATTTTTATGGGCATCTGCAGGAAAATTTCCAGGAGATAGCAAAGCTACACTGTATAATGCAACTGTTTTTTGCATCCAAAATATGTATCTTATAATTCACCAGTCTATTTTTTCTTATTTATGCATTGTTCCTAATGTTACATTTCTTAGAAGAAACATGCTACTGGTTTCAAAGTCGACCTGTATATATTTTGGAATACTCCTTTTAAAATGAATTTGAGCATTTCACATGCTCTTTCAAGGAAAAGATTTTATATTCTAAAACGGGAACATAGGAAGTTGAATTAAATCACACCATTAGTTCATTATCTGTCTATGCCAATGGAGACTGTACCAGCTCCACTACATGGAGAATTTCTGCCCAGCCTGGAACAAAATTATTTGTTACTGTTCTTCCAGCCAGCGTTATTCCAAATCAGTAATGGGATAAAACTTCTATGCTTAATATTTGCGGGGGTGGGGTGGGGTGGGGTGGGGTGGGGAGGAGGTGATTGGAAAAATACTAATTGACGTTTTGGGGCTTGTTTTTAATTTTAGAAGTATTGAGCTAAGGGGTACTTCCTTGTCACTTAGTCCTACGTTACAATCAACCTCTGCTGGTAACTCACAAAGATTTGTGTTGCATCCTGTTTCCTCTTGTCTATCGGGCTCCATTTTATTTCCATTTCTTACATTTTCCATGTGGTAAAGTATTTTAACAGGAAACAGGCAGAATGTGGTAGAAATTGTTCCTGATGACTTTTTGCTGTTCTTTTCTGTGTTTATATGCCATGTTAAAGAAAGCATATGCACCAAGACAAATTCCTTGTGTGTCCAAGAACGCTTGGCCAATAACCTATTCTTCTATTCTATTCTATTCTATTCTATTCTATTCTATTCTATTCTATTCTATTCTATTCTATTCTATTCTATTCTATTCTATTCTATTCTATTCTACCCTACCCTACCCTACCCTACCCTACCCTACCTTACCTACCCTACCCTATTCCATTCCATTCCAGTAGGAAGTAACCAGCAGATGGTTTCTCAAGATAGGTACTGATGTTTTGGGGTGACCAAGTCTATTGAAGGCTTAACACTTTTATGTGTTATTGTAATAATTTCTTCAGATCATCTAGCCTTTTTGTAATACCCACTTGCTTAGTATCTCGCAAGATATTGTAAGAGTTAATCAAGTTTGTCTCTAAGGGTTCTTCAGAACATTGACTTCTATGGAAGGTACAGATTATTTGCTCAGGCTGTCTCTTCTCAAGGACAGTGGTGATAGAAAGTCCTTGAAGTTACCTATTGTTATGTTGCTACAATTAAATTGTAAAGTAAAAGCACTCGTATTGCCAAGATGAGTTATTAATGAGCTAACTCCCTATGTGTGAAACACATGCACTGGGAAGATTTCAAAGTTGCTCAAAATTGGTTTTCTTTTGAACAACATGCTGCCCAAGGTAAGGTGTTTAGATGTTAACTTAGAAGGATTGTTTAAACTCTCCTGGATTGAAGCCATTCAATCTTCTGCAAATCAATAATCTGTCTTTCACAGTGTAGAAGCTAAGGGGGGGGGGAGAAATAATGGTTACACTTCGGGACCTCCATTTTCCTCTATTTCCTCTGTTATTTTGAATTTGTAGAGTGATCTGCTTTGGCTGTAAATAATAGTTATGGTGGAATTGCCTTTTGTCTAATACTTCCTGAGAGAGTGATACTTGCCTTCTGTGCTCCTCTGGATGTAGTTTTATATCTCTTAATTTATGCTCACTCTGTTTTTAGGTTCCAAAATACAGTAGGATCTACCTTTCCACTACTTGTGTTTTAAGTCACAGTTGTTTCTGATTGAGCTTGATTTGACTGACTTAGCAGTAGTATCTGTATGACTATATTTAAATTTAATGAAAGACTCCTTTACAGTGTTGTTAATTGTAGTCAGAAGCTCAAAATTGACAATACTGTTCATGCTGTCAATAATAATTGTCAGGTTATAAAGTGAGTAACATTTTTAAAATCCTTATCACCTTGTTGTATAAGCGTTGCAATTGGTGGACAAATGGCTTTGATCTGTGAGGGGAAACTCCTTCAGGCATTGAAGCAGAAAGATATAAAAGTCTGGAGCTCTCAATCTCCACCTGTAGATTCCATCCCAGGAGGTCAAATCTATTACAGAGACTAGCAGCAAAAGCTGAGGGGCCTGATTACTCGGGGCAAATAGATGTTTGCTTTTTTAGATAACTGTCAACTTGGAGCAGTTTTATAGGATTGAGTGAAGTTTGAGAAACAGAATGTGAATATTGCCTCTTCTTTTTTTCCCCCCATGGCAAAAAAGGTAAAAATACAGATCTCCAGAAAAAAAAAATATATATACAGGTCTCCAGCAGAACAAGAATGAAAATAAATTAAAATAAAAATATTGTAGAATGAAAAAAAGAGCTAAAGTTAAAGTTAAAATTTAAAAATCGGCTTTAGAAGCAGCTCTTAACAAGAGATGCTATGTCAAAGCCTTCTTTATGGTCTCCTCCACATTCTGTATATACATAATTATAAGTATTTTAACAGAGTGGTACTTAATGGATAAAAGTTATAGTCAGTAGTAACTGATGCTTGAATTAAGAAAAAAAGCCATATTTTCACCTGATCTACAAAAATAATATTGACTTTAACCATCCAAGCAGTGCAAGAATATTGGAAGAGTCTAAATCTATCCTAACATGTTATCTGAGACAGGACAATGGCTGATATGATATCCAAATCTTGAACTGCTCTTGAGAAGTGTCTATGGAGATTCTCAGTCATCCAGGTCATGGCTATCCCAAAGATGCAGGCAACTAGACTTTCTGGTTTTTTTCTTTGAAGATGTTTCACTTCTCATTCAAGAAGCTTCTTCAGCTCTGACTGGATGGTGGGGAATGGAAGGATTTATAGTCTTTGCAGACAGCTAGTAATTTGCATTCTTTTAGAGAGTCATTGAGGCCACCTGGAGGTTTATCTGTGTCGTCAAGGTCACCTGAGTAATGCAAATGGGTGTGGAACCTTCTTGGAACAGTTGAAAGGACTGTGTTGTAGACTGGAGATAGATGATGTCATATTCCTCTCCCTCTGTTGAGAAAGGGCTGTTCAATTTTAACATAGATGGTCTCTTTGACCCCTCTTTCAAACCAGCGATCCTCTCTGTCCAAAATGGGGACTTTGCTGTCTTCTTCAATCAAAGCTGAAGAAGCTTCTTGGATGAGAAGCAAAATGTCTTCAAAGAAAAAACCAGAAAGTCCAGTTGAACTTGAAAAAGCACCTTTGGGATGCTCTTGACAAGACAGATTTGATATTAATATTTAACTTGTTTAGGATAACAAGCCTAGGGATTTTCAGAACCATACATTCAACTCATGTTCAAAAAGTGTCAGGCAGAGGGAAAAGCATCAACAAAAAAACATCTCAGTCCTGTTTGATTTTCAGGTAATTGATACCTGCTGACTATTTAAAGGTATATAATTAGACAAGGAGATGAGATTCTTAAAGATCAGCAATAGGCAACTATTTTTGTGGCTGACAAGTATATTAAATGAAAAATCTCATCACAAAAAAATAATTAATTTGTTGCTGGGTTTTTAATGTTGTGATCCTGAGAGGAAAGGAACAAAGTTGGTGTTTGCCTGTCTCACTGATTGTCTGCCCTGTTATATATAAGGGATGAATGTGGGAGACTTTTTTTTTTTAGTCTTCATGTTTTATGAAATAAATCAGTCGGAAGGAAAGTTTATCCATGTGTATGGAGACAGATATTATAACTTTATGTGTTCAACATTTACTATTCCACACAAATTATTCATGTATGTGCCAATGTGTCCATGCTTGAATTAAGCTCTGTCATCAACTTTAGCTGATTCTGCTGGACACAGGAAATATTGGAAACCATATTACCAGTACTTTCATATTACTCAAGCAACAAGAAACTTCATATCAATCTTTGAATATAAACACTTTTCATATTGCTTCATTGCAAGAGTAACTTGTATAGACCAAACACTTGCTCATTCCCCCCTTTTTCCCTAATATATAATTTATCAGAAACTGGTGTAACATAAAAAAAAGAGTATTTTTTTCATACTATATATGCGTGTTTCAAAATTTTTATGTACCAATTTACCGCTACTCCTTCTGGCTAAACAGTAAACTGATTCCATGCACCATCAATAAACCCTTAAATATACTTAACATTAGAAGAGCTATTTGCATAATCCTTTATGTTAGGTTTGCCAGGCTATTAGTTCAAAGCACAGAAAGTAAGACTGAAAAAAAAAGGACTAGATGTAATACATATACATATGAAAAAGACCTTAGATATCAAAGGAATTGAGGGAAAGGATTTCTAAGCCTTACTTTTTCATCTTCACATTTTGTTCCAGCCAAGACAAGACCTGGATCAGGCATATCATCCCCCAAGTAAACATGTGTTCCTCGGCACAGAATTTTGCCTCCTCCTTGTAAAGGGATGTTTGTTTCTATTGAGACAGCATTGGTGCCAATTACAGGTCGACTCGCTCCCCCTTGACACTGAATTTTTCCACACTTTGAATCTCTGAAAAGAGAGGAATAATGTAGATCATTGACATATAATCAGCATCTCTATTAGCACTGCTTTACTTAGTTTTGTTTCGGACAGATGTGCAGCTTGTACCTGGGTTCACATTTGGCAAAAGTACTTTTGGAATCCTTGCCACAGTTTCCATATGGATCTCCTGCAGAATTGACTCTCTGAAAGCATATCTCAGGAGCAGGTTTAGCGCCTAAAACAGAGGCAAAAATATGGAATCTGTATGAAGTATGTAAGAAAGTAGATTTTGGTAGGGAAGAGTGAAGAGAGGAAGTAGAAGAGGGAAATTCTTGGATTATGCCTCCCCCACTTCCTTCCAAAAGGCAAACAGGCATTTCTACCCACCTCTGTGAAATCACAAGATTATTAGCAATGTTCATGGCAGTCCCTTGGAAGTAAAATAAAATTAAAGAATACATTGTAATTGGAATAGCTATTCACCCAGATAAATCTTATTATTTAATATAACTACTTACATTTTGGAACTATAATTATATACATATTCTTAAGGGTCTCTGTCTCTCTCTCTGTGACTACCCAAATGGCTGCAGCAAGAAATATTTGGTTCCATCTTTTAGAATAAACTGTAATGGAATTTAAATTTCATACTCAACCATCAAGCCATGGTTTGGTTAAACATGGTTTATTAAACAGATTACAATTTCCTGAGATCATACAACACATTATACCCAAACTATCAAACCATGTTATTGATTAATATGTTGCCATCTGAGCTGCATTAAGAAATTACAATAAAGTTAGTGACATAACCTTATGCCTATTTCTGACATAAATCAATACTGTATTTGCATTTTTTCTAGTAAGAGGGAAAACTCAGTGTGGCAAAAGCAGAAAATGAGCAAATAGAGAATTCTGTTTGTTACAATATAACCAAAATACTGGATGAGTATACTTATTCTTTTCGGTTACCAGTGGCCATCTAGTATGCTGAGACAACCTGATACTCTTGCATTTAATTCTGTGCCTTCATAATTCCTTTTCAACTTGTTTATTTCTAACTAAATAGAAATCTATTTGTTTCCTCTATTTTTTTTTCTGTTCAGATAAACTAAGCAAGCAAACACCCTATTTTTAGCCCTTCAAGGTAGACCGGATTAGGAAAACCAAGTCATATAGATCAATATCACTTTTATTTTAAATTATATTAACAGAACCTTCCAAGTCTGAATGTGCTTCCTTCCTCCCTCCTTTTATTTTTGTGAGAACTAGGCAGTGTCTTATCTGAGACATTTTTCTTGGGTTACAGTGCTGCTCCAAACTTAGATTTCATTTATCTGACTGTGGTTTTGGTAGTAGATGTTCTTCTTGTCACTCAAGGTTATCCCCATTAAACCAATATATTGCTAGTTGAACAATGGATAAGGTATAGAAGTAACTTCTTGGAAGGAAAATATCTGATTTCTGAGTCATAAAAAATGAACAGCATTCTCTTCTCTTTCTTATTCAATCCGTATACCAAAATGATCATGAAGAAGTTAGAGTTTGATGAATCAAAAATTGGGACAAAGGTTGGAGGAAGAAGTGTTAATGAGTTTCAATATATTGATGATATAACTCTTCTCTCAGAAACAAAAAAAGACCTGGAATGTCTGATCAAGAAAAATCAAAGAAGAAAGTGAGAATTTTCATCTCTTTTTGAACATCAAAGAGAGCAAACTCATGAGCACTACAAGGAATAAAAAAAATCAAAATAGAAATTAACATTGAAAAGATAGAATATGTGGAAAAAATCACTTTCCAGGGTTGCAGATCACTCAAAACTGAATGCAGCCCAGATATAAAACTTTGGATTGCACTGGGTTGGAAAATATGAAAAATCAAAGACATCAGCATGGCAACCAATGTAGGTGAGTTCACTCTATTGTGTTCCCTGCAGCTACCTATGGTTGTGAAAGTTGGACCTTAAAAAAGCAAGACAGGAAGACAATCAACTTGTTGGAGCTGTGGTGCCGGAGAAACCTGCTGCATATTTTTGGACAGCAAAGGTGACTAACAAGTAAATATTAGAACACATAACATCAGACATATCACTGGAAAGAAAAATCACAAAACTACACCTCATTTAATGCGGGGGAATTCATTGGATAAAACAATTATGCTTGGAAGAATGAGAAGTAAAAGGAAACCAGGCTGCCAAACAACCCAGTGACTGGACACCATAAGAGATAACACCCATCAGAGCATAGAAAAACTCAAAGAAATAGTGCAAGATAGGAAGATGTGGAGAGATCTGACCCATAGAATTGGCAGGAGACAGATACTATTGAATGGATAACATCATCATCATCACATTTTTTTTGCACTATCAATTGGTAAACAGGTAAAAGGCAGAAGACTGGCATTGGTTGGTTGGTTGGTTGGTTGGTTGGTTGGTTGGCTGACTGGTTGGCTGGCGATTTAAAAGCTTGGGTATTATTGGATTTTTACTGAGACTGGCTTTCCAGAGATTAGATGTTTTGATATAACAATATTTTAAAGCCTATTAAAATATTTTCTGTTACAAAGCATTTAAACAGTAAGAATAGTAATACTATTAATTAGCTAAATACAAATCACAGAAAAAAAAATTAGAAAATTTAAACTTTTTTTAGCCTGTTAGATGTGCTTTCTTGATTGTTGAATGAAAAATAAATGCATTTGAGTAGATTATGCAGCAGCTGTATTTTTTCTGATGAGACATGCTGAGGAGGAATAAAATGTGTGAATATATTTCTGGCCAATTCTTTTCATCCAGGCTTGAAAACAGTACACACTGGAACATTGAGTCACATAACAGCAATCTTTCTTTTTCTCTCTCTGTCTCACTTTCCCTGCAATGGTTAAAAGAAGCCCATTAAATTTGTCTACTCCAGTATTCTATTCCAAAAAACATTTATCTAAATGTTTTTTGATGTCACTCAGCATGAAAGGATCATCTTGTGGTTTATCTCCAATGGCTGAAACCTACAAATATATGGTATCTTTATAGGATAGAAAGGATAGCAGTGGTGGGAAAGTGTCTTATCTACTACAGATGAACATTAATATCTCATCTTTCTAGTGGTTATGTAATAAATGGCTTCCATATAGAAGTATAAATTTATTACTGAGACAAGAAATTGAGAGGATTTAATTCTCAATGAGGAGAAAGAAAAGAAGCAAGCTTTTGTTTTAGCTATTCTTAAATGGTTAAAAGTTGGAAATTTTAGTTGATAAATTATAAAAAGACCCAGCAATTTACTCCAGATGTAGAAGCTAACATCCTCTTTGAGGTCAACTCGACTCCTGGTGCCTACTTGGTCACAGCCATGTTGCTTTCTGAGCAATTAATGTAAAAATAGTTTTCCACTGCCTTTTTCTGGATTCCTGTTTGACTTCTCAGCCTAGTCTACATCTCTCTATTCCCCAACACATTGTCTAGTTCAAAGCTTTCCACAATCAGGATGAAGAATTAGTCCTAAAATAAAGGTCTAATTTTTAACCCTCCATTTTCTGGGATTCCTGAGGAAAAGAAAACCAGGACTTTGTACGTACTTCCAACAGTGGGCTTTCAGAATACTGCCCCATGGTTCTTGCTGGAATTTTCTTCAAAATAATGTACCAAAAAAGAACTTTGGAAGTACTTAAGGAGGTCAAGCAGTGGTGAAATCCAAATTTTTTTACTACCATTTCTGTGGCCGTGGCTTGGTGGGCAGGGGAAGGATACTGCAAAATCTCATTCCCACCCCACTCTGAGGCCAGCCAGAGGTGGTATTTGCCGGTTCTCCGAAATACTCAAAATTTCTGCTACCTGTCAGAACCTGCTGTTCAGATAAGCTAAGCAAGCAAACACCCTATTTTTAGCCCTTCAAGGTAGACTGGATTAGGAAAACCAAGTCATACAGATCAATATCACTTTTATTTTAAATTATATTAACAGAACCTTCCAAGTCTGAATGTGCTTCCTTCCTCCCTCCTTTTCACTCCTGAGGTCAAGTGACTTTTAGGATATTCAGATCCTTAGAGAAGTATTTATTCAAGCCCCAAGAACTGCCATCTATTGGGATCCCAGAAGCATGCATTTGCATTCTCTGTCATGGTACCAGATTGCTGGTATAAGGTTCCTCCTGAAATATCGGTGGTTTCCATCTGGAAGGCATTCCAAAGGGATTTGAAGACTTGGTTTTTCTCCCACACTTTGCGCTAGAATTCTAGGAACCTGTTGCTGATTGTATATATTTGTTGCTATTGAGGAGATCTGCCATTTTGCTTCCATTAGATGAATTTTTGTTTTAAAAAAATATGTTTGTTTTGTTTTATGCTATGAGCCACTGAGTGCCAATTGGAGCAAAGTGGTATTGACGACAAATAAAATAAATTGATAAATTATATTCCTGTGTTGTTTAATTCTTTCACTGTCAATCTCAATACACGTTTAAATAGCCAAAAGGCCTTATTCCATTCTTCAATCACTTGGTATTAGCAAATATTTATGATGCCACTTTTATAGAAAATATGTGTGTATTTTCCATATCTTTTTAATTCATCCTATTTAAACCTTTCCAATGAGAGCTGGTTCTGGTAAAGGAAAGGAGGAAGATTCCTTGCATTTGGAGTAAAGATTCTTCTTTCTTCTGGGCAATCTCTGTAGATATATCTTTATCACATCTGATATCTGTTGCCTGGTTAGGTGGTTAGTTAGCAGTCACCACTGCTTGCCCAGGCCCCAACTAATGAGCAAGTAAGAATATGCAAAAAATTGTCTTGATTTGGTAGTCATTGCTAGTACACTGATGAAAAAAATGTTTTTGTGTGTGTGTGTGTGTATGTATGTATGTATGTATGTATGTATGTATGTATGTATCACTGTGTGTGTCCCCTTACAACAGTTCATTTAGGCACTGAAAAAGATAACATTTGACCATTTTTCAAACTTGCCACTATTGTGGCATCCCCATGACACAGGATCAAAATTCAGATGCTTGGCAACTGACTCATATTTAGGATGGTTGCAGTGTCCCAGGGTCATGTGATTATTTTTTACGACCTTCTGACAAACAAAGTCAATGAGGAAGCCAGATTCACTTAAGAATCATGTTACTAATTTAACAAGTGCATTGAGTTACTTAAGAACTGTGGCACTTAACAAATGTCTCAGCAACAGAAATTTTGGGATCAATTATGATCTACACACACACACACACACAAACGTGT